TTGTCTGCCTTTCATTGCAAGCTTGCCAATATTCAGAGGATGAAAGCCATCTACATCCTTTTCTAGACTGATTTCACCTAGAACTCTCTCTTCATTAACATGTTTTGGTAACGGAAGCTGTACCAATATACCTGTCGCAATGCACAGAGTGCCTTAACTACACTTGTCTTTGTTATGCGTCATTTGATATTCTAACCAACACATTTTCTTCTCAACAATATACTTGCACAACATTACTAATAAACCAGAACTAGAAAATTAGAAATGCTTACTCGAGGAAAAAGTGAAAGAAAAGAGAAGAAATCTAAGAAGCAGTCAGGCAAAACTTGCAAAAACTCCACCAGCAAGGTAAAACCAAATTTTAAAAGTCATGGAAAGAGGTGGTGTAAATAAAGCTTTGACCAAGTTGAAGTTAAAACTTTTTTAAAGATGGAAGTTGAAGCTTTGACCAAACTGTAGGAATGAGATATTAGATAGGTGCTCTAATCCGAGGATTTTCAGTTTCAAATAGACTTAATTATACTAACTGAATTATGCAGTACCAACGACATAAAGCAATACACAGGTTGCATGTAGAATGGCTGGTTACTGTAGATGCCACTATGTTGCCAACAATTAACACCATTGAGTTTGTCCGACAGAGCAATTTTATATCAAATATTTTGTATTGAGCCTACAATAGCTAGGACCTTAAAGTTCTCTTTTTGAATAACTACACAGGTATGGACAATGTTGGCTAAAAATAACCCGGTTGTACAAAAATAAAGTAGGAGCATGATGAGAAAATAACATCTGCAGTATGCCCAAACCAAGTACAGACAAACAAGGCTAAACTTCCTCACCCAAACAACAGAAGTATAACAATGCAAAGCAGCAAGAGGCAAGAAAAATAACTTCCTATTATCGCCAATGACTAACCATGTACATCACGATTAGCATTCAGCTCGTGGACCTTGCTAATCAATTCATCTTCAGCTACGTCCTCTGGGAGATCTATGTCAAAAGATTGAATGCCAAGTTCAGCACAAGATTTTCTCTTCATATTCACATAACTTTGAGAATCCTTCCTATTTCCTACAATGACTACTGCCAAGCCAGGGACCTGAAAATAACAAAAAACTTGGATACTTGAATTCCGCATGACCCATGAAAAATACAATTTCTGATTAAGGACATTGCTGCACCAGCTTCAAAATTCAAATACATCATATACACATTAAAGAATGCACATACTCTGAATTATCTTCATAATATCCACGATGTAATTACC